GTGAGTGTTCTGTATATAGTACTAGTTTAGTTTGTTAGTTAAGATATGTAGTAAAGGATAATCAAAATAATTGATGTTCGAGGTATACATATATATACAGATGATGATGATGAGATTCAACGAACGTTCATTCAATGATAACATTGTTCTATTCAAAGATGATCTTATTAATGATATTTGGATTGCTTCTACTACAATCATGTTCGTCTGCCGGTGAAAGTAGTATGTTCAGTATGATACAATTGATAAAATTAATGTTGAATTAATGATCAGCAAAGATAAATGGTAGCTAGTAGTGTAATCCAAGACGCATATTTTGTCCTATTTAGGACTTGTTAGCCGGATGTAACTGCATTTCAGAGTTGATGTTCACCCCAATATTCAAACACAGTACCGTTCACTTCAAACGTCATCTCATCATCCACTTAGCAATTCAGTCCAGATAACCACTACCTTGTACAATGGGCCGAAGTTTTAATTCATTTTTGTAATGGTTTTCTGAATGTTCCCATTGATGGTTAGGGCTTTAAATGATCAGTCTCTTGTTGGCATATGTATAGCCTATGTGGATTACCTCGATATTGTCTTAATTCACAAGAATTATAAGGAAAAATATGGATAGTGGCTCGTATTGGAATTCAGGACGCACATTTCTTCCTATTTGGAACTCATCAACTTGATGTACTGACATCCTAGATTTGATGGTCACTCTGGGACTAATCAATTACAGTCTTAAATATCAATTAGCTTAATACAATACCAGTCTTGTGTTCTTACTTTCGCATCGTGGGAATTACTGAGGTCCCTCGTTCCGAGTATAAGTGATCAGAGTTTATTTTTTCCGGCACAACAATTCCGAGGACCGAACATAACAGTGTGGTTCATTTGTAAACTATGAATTATAATGAAATGGAACTTATATTGACATGTTATTTACACTATTTATTACATAACACAAGCAACGACAGAGTAAGTTTATCCACTACTAATCTATTTCAAACTATCTAAGTATTGAGATTACCAGTTAGATGTTGTTAGGTGTATTTGTAATAGTTAGCATCTATTTTAAAATAGAAAATGGTGCTTTCATCAGTCTATTATCTTACATACTAGTTGGAAGGAGTTTCAATTATAAGTAGAGTTTTTTTGAAAAAGCACTGAACGGCTGTTTGATCCTAATGTGAAGCTACTCAGCAGTGCTTATCCACAAATGTGACAAGGCATTGGAACCCAAAAACTTCGGTCTCACGTGTAAGACTGAACCGGCATCCAATGGTGTCGATGTCTAACTTTAATCAATCGACGTTAATGCCCGACCGTCCACCATTGTCTTCAGTGAGTAACTACCTCACAACAGACACAGTTTAATTCTACTAGTCACGCCTATTCAGTAGAACTCCAGAAAATACATCTTCAAGTTGCTCACTAGTGAGCACATGATAATCTTTATGAGAATGAAGGTCTGTAGAATCCAACCATTAAATTACTACAATTTACATAAACCCTCATTTGAATTGTTCTCTTAACCAATATACCTTCATCTCAATTACATTCATTCAACTGGATTTCCGTCATTGTTTTTCAGACAATCAGGGTAAGTAACTGTATTGGTGTGATTTAAATCTCGTAACTATTGATGAGATCAAATAAACGTTGAATTCGACAAAATTAGGAATTCAGCGTTGTTTATGAAGATCATAAGAAATTCATTCATTTTCTGTTTATGAATCAGTATATCATGAGAATTTTGTATTTTTTTTATATTGAAATAGTCACATGGAACCTGAATTGTAGTTATTCTAAGTCTACTACAGGTCCAAAGCTCGGGTAAAGGAGGAGGGTTGTATATGGGGTCGACAATCTTATCTCGTAAAAAACAACGTTGCTAAAAAGTAGCGCTAACCAGAATATGAAGACGTCAACATGTGGAGGAAGTATGGGATACAGTGGACAGATAGGATGCAGCTGGACGAGTTAGACTTCAGATGAACTGACTCTTCTACTGCACACAACAACAAATGCAAGAAAAAACAACCAGTGTAGCAACAGTCTCAACAGAAGTAGGTCTCAAAATACACAATGGGAAAAGCAAGATACTCCCATGCAATACAACACGCACCAATCGAATCACACTTGACAGGGAAGATTTGGAAGATGTAAAAACCTTGACATATGTGAGCAGAATCATTGATGAACACGGTGGATCTGATGCAGATGTGAAGGCATGGGTCGATAAAACAAGGGCAGCACATTTACAACTGAAGAACATCTGGAACTCAAAACAACTGTAAATCAATACTCAAGTCAGAATTTTTAGTGCAAATGTCAACACAGTTCTACTGAATGGGGCAGAAACCAGGAGAACTACGAAAGCCATCATCCAGGATATACATGTGTTTATTAACAGTTATCTACGCAAATACTTTTGATCCGTTGGCCAAACACTATCAGTAACAACCTACTATGGGAGAGAACAAACCAGATCTCAGCGGAGGAAGAAATCACGAAGAAGCGCTGGAAGTGGATAGGACACACATTGAGGAAAGCATCAAACTGCGTCACAAGACAAGCCCTCACATGGAATCCTCAAGGCCAAAAGAAAAGAGGAAGACCAAGGAATACATTACACCGAGAAATGGAGACAGACAATGAGAAGAATGAATAATGATTGGATAAAACTAGAAAGGAAGTCCCAGGATAGAGTAGGTTGGAGAATGTTGCTCGGCAGCCTACACACCATTGGGAGTAACAGGATTAAGTAAGCATATAAGTCACTAAGTAAGTACATTTCACATCCGTTTAAACATATGAAATGTAAAGTTGAATAATAATAAATTTACTAAAGATTTGATTTTGTGAATAAAACACAGATCATTTTTGAAAGGATTATTGTAAGTGATTAAGAAAATTATTCAAACTTCAATTCTTACTATTATCATTCTGTTTTATTTATAATTGACATTCTTCTTTTGAATTTAGTTAGTAATAAATTCACTTGGTATTGTTTGCTTGAATCTTCTCATTATTGATTAGGACTGCAATTTATCAATCTCTTGTTGGTATATGCGCATATTGTGCGGATTGTATCAATACTCCCTTAATTCACAAGAGTTCTAAGCAAAGATGGATAGTGGATAGCGGTGGAGTGGATGACGCACCTTTCTTCCTATTAAGAATTCGCCAGCTGAATGTACCTGCATCTCAGAGAGTTGATGTTCACTCTGTGGATAAAGCGATGGCGTTTGAAACAAGTGGTACTGGGTTCGAGTCCCGGAGTGGACATTAAGATGAGATGAAAACATACTAAACAAGAGAATTAAGAACAAGAAAGGACGTGGTGTTAGAAGAGTTTTGACTTAAATTGGTGGATCCACAACATTTCAGCAGGTCATAAGAGTTTGATTCTTCTCTCTCATTGATTTTCTTCTTTTAATTATATAGATTATTTTGAAGGAAGATTTTTTCGAAATAGCGCTTCGGCAGTTTTTCGTCTGCTCCTCTATTAAAATGATGTTTGTTTTAGATTATTCTTTTAAAAGCCACAGCGAGTGTTATTCTCAAATGTATTTTGTGCCGGACAAACTAAAACCTACCCCATAGAAGCAAACAAATTTATAGATGCATATCGATGTGGCGTAAAGCAAAATGTAACACATTCGTGCATGGTAGGCTGACTTGAGAAGATAATACGAAGCTTAATTGAATGGAACGCTTTATTCATGGGATTTTTTAATTCGTTCATTCAAGATTTAAATGATTGGAAATAATTTCCTATTTCCATTATGTTTCATTGATTAATCTAAGTGACTTTCTTAACTTAATTTGGTGAGTTTATTTGTTATTTGTCTTTAGTTTCTATGTTGGGTTACATTTTGATCAAAACAGTTAAGTGTCCGTTCTACTTCTATAGCGTAATTATAATACAGTTGAATCTTCCCAATAAATTTGTTGTTTGTATATAATGAAAATGGAACTACACAACAAGTAAACCTATGTGACATGCCCCATACCATTAGTACCTTACGCCGATTACCCCTGTTGAGGAACATAAGCTGCCCATCATGATGCAGACGCGCTGATAGAGGTGGTCTGTCACGTACCTGAGAAGCCTCATTGATGAACAAGGAGGATCGAATGAGAATGTAAAGGCGCGGATTGACAAAATCAATAATGCATTCTTACAGTTGAGAACATATGGGGAACTCAAAACAATTGTCAACAATATTCAAATTCGCAATTTGATACGAACTTCCAAGACAGTTGCTATACGGAGATGAATTCGAGAGAACTATCACAACCATCAAACTGGTGCAATTATTTATTAATAGATATCTACAGAAGATACTCAATAGCCGTGACCCCATACCATAAGCAACAGCCTTCTATGTGAGAGAACAAAACAGAAAATGAGCAAAAATTGTTGGAAGTGGATAGGTTATGTATTGAGGAAATCATCAACCTGCATTACAAGGAAAGCGATAACTTGCAATTCTGATAGGATACGGAGAAGTATAAGACCGAAGAACAAACTACATCGAGAAATGAAACCAGATTTGAAAAAGATGAATGGACACTGGAAAGAACTAGAAAGGATTGTTCAGAATAGGGTTGGATGGAAAATACTCGTGGGCAGCCTATGCTCCTTGACAACGTCAAGTTTATTGAGGAGGAACGAATGGGAACAGAAACAATGAAGTCTGAGACGATTGATTGATGTTTACAAAAAGAGCAGTCAAATTAGAGACGATTGATTGACATTTTGGAGAAGAAGTATCCGCTGCATAGTTCTCAGATTTTGCTAAGAGATTCTGTAATTTAATATTCGTGTACATTCCATTGTTTCCAACCTGTGTTCTTGTTCATGATAATACAGCAAGTCGTCATAAACGTTTTATAAACTCTTTTGAATGGGTTATGTGTTTAACAGATATTTGAACTTACAACTTTCGTTTTATCAAAATAAGGAAATGGTAAATAGTATACCTTAATAATTTGAACTTACCAACAAGTGGTTGTGTACTACTCCTGAATATAAGTCGATTAATATTCAAATTACTTTGACAATGTCATTCAAAATAAAGGTAGAACGCTACACAGTTAAACCATCTATTTCAACAAGATGAACACCAAATTCATAAAAGTATTTCATTCACTGGTGGTAATATATAGAAGATTGCATATGAAAATATAATACAGTAAGAAAGAATTAGTTCGTAGAAAGAACGATATGGTGCGATTTAAATCTCATAGTTTAAGGGAAGACAATGAGTGTATACACTTACACCATTGCGATCGATTGTGAGCCATGTCACACAAAGTCTCCAACAATTGGTTACGATAGTCACGCGAACCCCAACTAAGTGGTCTGCATCTATCAACATGGCTAAGACTAGAAATTAGTGACTTAAAGAACTGATACCACCTTTTTGATTTGGTTGCTCCTAACTTCCTTCCAACACTAGTCAGCATTGCGCGTCGTGGCAAACTGTGTCGTTAAGTTATTCAGTCAGTCAGCTGCAACGTGGGACCAGGCACATATGCATCAATCAAAGAAAATCTCCATTTCAATAACTGTTGAAAGCATTAATTGAAAGTTAACATTTGATATGTGTTGAATCAATACAAACATTATTTCATGTCATGAGTCAATTGAAGGTAGACCATCATGGAAAACCTTGAAGCACAGGATGATCATTTCATCCTAGTATGGGAATTCTCAGCAGTGCACATCCACGACCCTTCCCTTATCCAGATTCGTACCCAAGATCTGTTAGTTTTGCTCGTGAGCGCTTGACCATTAACCGACTGAGCCAGAATCCAGTGGTGCTAATGCCTAACTTCAATCAGTCCACGAAATCGCGCCACCGTACATCATTGTCTTCAGTGAACTGATATCTCACAGCAGATCTGGTTGGTCACTGTTTCTCACTAGAACTCCAGCAGTGTCTCTTGAAGCCAGTCACCAGTGAGCATATGTTAATTCATATCAGAATGGTTTTTGTTGATATTATAGTGATTTCAATGATTGAGATCATGAGTCAATTGAAACTAGATCATTATGATCTATGATCAACGATCGCTTATTTACATCTAAACTTGGAAAGTTTTAAGTATAAATCATAGATTACTGATTTTGGTTACTTTGATAAAAAAGTAAGGCAATGACATCTTGGAATAGTTAAAGGATATTCGTACATTGCAACCAATAAAATGTAAGTAGACAAATTTCTCAGATGCAGTAAAATCAATAATGTAAATCACAATTCATTTCATTGGACAGTGACTTCAACTAGTCAATTATCAAGATAAACAATATGATTATCCAGTTAAAATGTTTTACACTTACTCAGTGGTCTGTTTCACCGATTTACCTACGGCTGAAGGTTTTAAAAAAACAGGTGATATTCATACCGGTCAATATGTCATTGATTTCGTAGAGTACCAAGTTTGTATAAGTCGTATTTCGATTGGCGAATAAATCACATGGTAACTAGCTAGTATTAGCATTAGTATTAGTATTAGTAGTAGTAGTAGTAGTAGTAGTAGTAGTAGTAGTAGTAGTAGTAGTAGTAGTAGTAGTAGTAGTAGTAGTAGTAGTAGTAGTAGTAGTAGTAGTAGTAGTAGTAGTAGTAGTAGTAGTAGTAGTAGTAGTAGTAGTAGTAGTAGTAGTAGTAGTAGTAGTAGTAGTAGTAGTAGTAGTAGTAGTAGTAGTAGTAGTAGTAGTAGTAGTAGTAGTAGTAGTAGTAGTAGTAGTAGTAGTAGTAGTAGTAGTAGTAGTAGTAGTAGTAGTAGTAGTAGTAGTAGTAGTAGTAGTAGTAGTAGTAGTAGTAGTAGTAGTAGTAGTAGTAGTAGTAGTAGTAGTAGTAGTAATATCATTAGAAGCTCAAATGGAGATAGTTGAGTAACATATGTTGAATAATTAAGAAGTGACATTTGTAAAGTTTAATGTATCCGTTATAAACATTTTTGTACATCTGATCAGAAAACTTTATTAGACACCATAGGGCCATTATTCAACATAGGTTTTAATGGTGAAACCATAACTTTAGACGATCTTTGAGCGACGCTAAAGTGACTTTGAGAATGTCTGCCTACATACCACGGTTAAATGATCCAGTATGAGGAATTAGAATTATGAATAATAGTTGATGGTTAACATTAGGAATTAGATTTAGGGTTTTCATCACGAACTGATATCAGCTATTATGCCAAAACTCGATTTATCCAAATGGATGAAGGAATTTTGCGCCAAAATCCGAGATCTGTTATCTTATACCTGAATGGTTCGTCCATAAATTATAGTCTTCTAACTTTAATCCCAATCGATAAACGAATGAACAAACATTAAGGTCTGGATATTATACCATTTTAATATTTAAAAAAACCTATTTCTGAACATGAAGCATTCCCTAGATGACTGATATATGAAATAAGTAGATAGAACAATATTCTTTCTAGTTGAATTCATAAGTCAATCTAAGCTAGACTATCATTGAAAACCTGAAAACATTGGACGATCAGTCGTTCTTAGTATGGAACTTCTCAGTGATGCACATCCATGATCCCACACCAAAGATACTCGAACTCAGAACCTTCAATCTCACGCACAAACGCCTCATCTGTAGACCACTAACCCAAATCCAACGATGATGATGGTGATGATATAAGAAACCATGACCATTGGAGTCAGATCCGTGTTGGGTGAAGACAGTTATCCACCCAAGGTGGCCTGCTTGAATGTCTGGGCTACCTGTTTCTGCCATCTACATATTTCAACAAGTTATCTATTTTCTTGTTTCGTTTAACACATCATTATGCGTTTGTGAAACGTTTACGATAATTCATTGTACAAGTTGCAAAACCAACCCAATCAGCGACATCTTAGTCACTAACAATATTCATCGAAAACAATGAACATTAATCAGATATCGATTGACTGAATTGCTAACATCTAATTGACAATCATTCAATATTAATCGTCAAGATTAACGAAGAAGTAACAACAAGATGGAAACTTCTTAAAATACTTTATTGAGATCATGAAGCGATTAATGTTAGACCACCATTGAAAACCTGTAAGCACTAGATGGCCGTCTCATCCTATTGTGTGACTCCTCAGCACTGCACATCCACGATCCCACTCGCGAGTTCCGAACCCAGAGCCTTCAGTTTCTCACGCGAACGCCTAACCTACGATTCATGATCTCAATGAAAAATTTAACAATCTTCACAACCACTCTACTGTAAAATACTTTATGTTGAGGATTCTATACTGTACTTAAGCATATTATATTGAAGAAAACCACTAAACAAATATATTACCAAAGTAAACTTACTTCCACTAGTTTCAGTCTTATTCATCATAATGCATCCATTAATGATTAGAATTATAAGAAAAGATATAGAATTCATTTCACCAAAAGAAAAAGTAAGATCTTTCTTTTTCTGAAATGACTTTTGTGTACTCACTTGTTTGTCATTTATATATAGTTCATAACCGAAAGGGGGACATCATATGTGTGTATAATAGATCATTGTTTGTTTACTAAATGTATTTGACAATTTGTTTGCTTAAAAATTGTTTCTTGTAAAGAAACAATGATGTAAATATCAACATATGATCATATTTATAATTCATTTGGTATTGTGTTTACTTAAATCTTCCCATTGGATGTGTTAGGACTGCAATTGATTAGTCTCTTGTTGCTATATATATATATATACATCCTGTTCAGATTGCTTTGATATAGTCTTGATTTACAAGCTATTTTAAGCAAAGATCGATTGTGACTAATAATGAAATCTAGAATGAGTGTTTCGTCCCAAGTTGGGACTCGTCAGCTGAAATATGGATATCAGAACTCAGTAGAAACTAAGTGGATAACATGATAGCGTGTTTAAAGAAAACACTAGTGAGTTTGAGTTTCATAGTGAATATCAACTATGAAATGCAGGTATATTCAGTTGATGAGTCTCAAATGGGATGAAAAGTGTGTCATATATAATATGAAAACAATATAAAAAAGTAATTGCATTTTATATTTATGAATTATTCTTTCATGTGATATAGTCTTCATGAAAAGTGTCAAGTGTATATCATATGACTGACAGAATGTCTTTCTCTATTTTTTAAAGAAATTTCAAATACTACTTGTTTAAATTCATTTCTTTGAATGTAGTATTGTTAATAGATTAATTCTATACTAATAAACAGGTAGGTATGTATGTAAGTATGAACGTATAATTACTGAATCCGTTAAACTATGTAACAGTTAATGTTATGTAGGTTAAAGAGATGATGAGATTATATAAATACGGTGAATAGAATGAAGGATCAATGAAAGAAATACAAAATAGATCATACAATATGTCCAGGTCCCATCAACTAGAGGGAGTAGTTCAGGTTCAGATGAGGGAAAGTATATTCTACAAACGGTTAGAGTATGAACAACAATAGCTACAAACCTCAAGCGTATATATTATTTGATTACTTTAACTTGTTAAGCCTTGTTAACAAGCATAGGCTACCTACCATCATTCGCCATCTAAATCAGTCTTAGACAATCCTTTCCAGTTCTTTCCAGTTGTTATATATCCTATTCAAGTCTGCTTCTGTTTCCCGATGTACTGTGTTATTTGGCCTTCATCTTTTTAGCTTCTTTTCAGGATTCCAACATAGAGTTTGCTTCGTGATTCAGTTTGATGATTTGCGTGATGTATTTTCTATCCATTTCCATCGATTTTTCCTAATTTTCTCTTCAGCTAGAAGCTAGTTTGTTTTCTCTCACAGAAGGCTGTTTCTGATGGTATCCGACCAATGGATGTTGAGTATCTTGCATAGAAAACTATACCTAAATACTTGTACCGTTTTGATGATGGTTGTGGTAGTTGTCCAAATGACATCGTCAGAATTATTTGAATGTTAATCGACTTATTTTCAGGAGTAGTACACAACCACTTGTTGGTAAGTTCAAATTATTAAGGTATACTATTTACCATTTCCTTATTTTGATAAAACGAAAGTTGTAAGTTCAAATATCTGTTAATCACATAACCCATTCAAAAGAGTTTATAAAACGTTTATGACGACTTGCTGTATTATCATGAACAAGAACACAGGTTGGAAACAATGGAATGTACACGAATATTAAATTACAGAATCTCTTAGCAAAATCTGAGAACTATGCAGCGGATACTTCTTCTCCGAAATGTCAATCAATCGTCTCTAATTTGACTGTTCTTTTTGTAAACATCAATCAATCGTCTCAGACTTCATTGTTTCTGTCCCCGTTCGTTCCTCCTCAATAAACTTGACGTTGTCAAGTAGCATAGGCTGCCCACGAGTATTTTCCATCCAACCCTATTCTGAACAATCCTTTCTAGTTCTTTCCAGTGTCCATTCATCTTTTTCAAATCTGGTTTCATTTCTCGATGTAGTTTGTTCTTCGGTCTTATACTTCTCCGTATCCTATCAGAATTGCAAGTTATCGCTTTCCTTGTAATGCAGGTTGATGATTTCCTCAATACATAACCTATCCACTTCCAACAATTTTTGCTCATTTTCTGTTTTGTTCTCTCACATAGAAGGCTGTTGCTTATGGTATGGGGTCAACGGCTATTGAGTATCTTCTGTAGATATCTATTAATAAATAATTGCACCAGTTTGATGATGGTTGTGATAGTTCTCCGAATTTCATCTCCGTATAGCAGAACTGTCTTGAAGTTCGTATCAAATATTGCGAATTTGATATTGGTTGACAATTGTTTTGAGTTCCATATGTTCTCCAACTGTAAGAATGCTATTATTGATTTGTCAATCCGCGCCTTTACATTCTCATCCGATCCTCCTTGTTCATCAATAATGCTTCTGAAGTACGTGACAGACCACTTCTATCAGCGAGTCTTTATTAAGTGTGTATTGATCGCTCTTCTCCATGCTGTAATTGAGGATCCTGCATATCCATATGTGTATGTTGAGTCCCACTCATCCAGATGATGTTGCTGCACTAGTTATCTTCATCTGCATTTGTTCCTGTGTATGATATTATTATATCTTGTGACCGCCGATCAGAGTGCAGTGACTTGTCGATCAGATCAATGACGCGTAAACCCGTATGAGCGGCCTGGAGTCTTATTTGGCTCTGCTTTCCGCCTAGCACAGCCAGGTAACTTTAGAACACCAGTCTCAGCCTCTGCGATATGCATCGTTATATTACAAACATTCTGAGTTTATATACCAATCAAACAGACCACAACGTACCAATATAATATGAAATAACATTTGTACAAGATTTAGCCATATGTGGCTGTGATTTTGGGAGGCATTGACTTATATACTGGGTATAAGTCAAGAGTGGTAAAACGTATGATAATAGCTTATGGGTCTAAATAGAGCTTACAATAAGAGGAATATGAATAGTTTAGTTACTTAATAAGTATACAATAGAAATCTGCGTTTAGTATTGTTCCACAAATAGATCCCAAAAAATTACCATTGATTATTCTTATCGGGATTCAACAGGTATAGAACAGCCAGGTAAACGTGTATATAAAAAACAAAAATTTCCTTGAGAATCGTCACAAAATAACATTTTGGTGGCTCATTATTTTAACCCAAATTAGATTTTACAATGTTGTTGATGACGAGCTCATTACTTCAGTGGCCCAAGAGCTGACTCTAATCGGATTGTATGAATGATTGTTACAATGTCGTCAATCTTCGTATATAATCATCAACTTAACTCGCGTTGATGTAGAAAAGAATTAAATAATTCAAATAAGAGAGCAGATTTCGAATACGTATGTTTCATACAGTCATTGATCCTTCAGATAAACGATCAGAAAAGCGAAACAACGTTCGGTGGAGAAGGTAAGTGAGTCAACTCTATTCAATCAAACGTTAAGCGACAATAATTGTCAGACCAAAACTAAATTACAGATATATGATGAGTAGGATAAAAACTGCACACACATACGCTCATTTGACAAGCGAATAATTAACAAGGTCAAAATGTGACTGATATAGGCTTGCATAGCACTTCAGTATTTGAAGTTGGAAATAAGCGTAAGAGTAGGTGCTTTAGCGTGTAAACGAGAAAATCCAATTTCCAAATTGAAATTACAACAATACGATGTTTGACATGTGAGTTCGGATGATTTAGCATTCTCAACACATAAACCATCCAAATTGGTAAAGAGAATATTTGAATTTATTAAAATGTATCAGCAATATCTTCATTTCCAATCATTAACTCATTTAAAGCATAAACTTCAATTCATATTGAGATTAAACGTTTTCATTTATAGCTGGATATTGTAGTATGTCAGATTCCACTCGGTTGCTCCACATAGCTATATATTTAACATTATCACAAAGCGATCTGAAACATTACAAGAAGAGATGGATAGTGTTTAACAATAGAATCCATGACACGCCTTACTCCTCATTCTATGCTCATCACTTAGATGCACATGTATCCAAGATGATGTTCACTCTGGTACTGGAACCCGACAACAATTTACTGTGATAGATAACAAACCAGATTCTAGCGAAGGAAGAAATCAGACGGAAGCTCTGAAAGTGGATATGACACACATCGAGGAAAACACTCAAGTTCGTCACAAGGCAAGCTCTCACTTGGAATCCTCAAAGCCAAAGGAAAAGACCAAACAGCATATTACGCCGAGAATTGGAAACAGATATGAGAAGAATGAACAAAAATCGGATAGAACTAGAAAGGAACTCCAAAGACAGAGTGGGTTGGAGAATGTTGGTCGACGGCTTATGCTCCATTGTTTTCAAAATCTATCTGTACTGTATCTATGAAACAATGACTTAAGCTTTTCTATTCGGTATGGAAGTCTAACTTTCACATATATAGTCTAAGTATTATAACAGCGGTTTTCAGTTCGAATCCGTTTTCATCTATGTAAAATTAACGTTGAAATATCTTCGTTTAGATCATTCTTGCATCATTTACATATCCGTAATTGACTCTGCTTTCTTGATTGAAGCTTTTAAAGGATTCTTATCATTGCTATCATCTATAGCTGGTCAAAAAAACTTTAAGAAGCCTATAAGAAAATAATCAGACTGGAAAGCATAATCATGCTGAACATATTCTAGATAGTAAGTATTGTTGAATAGCTTATAAGTTGTCAGCAGTGCTTTAGTCACATTCATGATGACTTATTACAACAAGATGCAAAGCTGCAACGAATATATATGTCTTGATTCTGGAAGTTTTTTACGTAATTAGTCAAATCTTGATTCTAATCCGTTAAGGGGATTGTCACTACGTTAGTTATCCGTCGGTTATTCATTTATTACGGAATGAACTATTGAAAGTATTATGCAGATTCAAGTCGGTTTGCGACAAGTACAAACTTTCAACATAATCATTACTAAATTTAAAGATGTCATTCAACTTTACTAAATTAATCAAATGCGTGAGGAACCATTCTATATAGAATTCTAAAGCCTCCATACGGTTTTCAATATGTAGGGATTAACCAGAAGATCAATTCCCTTCCCTTTGACCACATATATAATATGTAGTTTTGATAGTAAATCTTGTTAAACTGTATCATTACATGTTCCCTAAATACTATCAATCATTAATAGGTACCATTTCCACTTTATTCTAGTTTCAGTAATGGTCTATGTGTAAAGGGGTATAACAATTTGTACAACGTATGGATGCTTGAAAATTATCAACTTTTGATAACGTTTTAGTATATAACTTTGAACTACTGATAAATAATTCAGTAATGTTTTATTAAATCCAAAAAGTTAGTAGGTTAGGCAGTTCATGCTTAGTTATACATAGAAATCAGATGTAAGCGCATGAGTATAATTTATGGATAAACCAATCACATTTAGGTTATCAGGTCTCAAACGTTGGCGCGAAATTTATTCTTTGCTTTGGCTAAATACCATTATGGCAATTTAGCTGATGTCAGTTTGTGATGAAAACTCTAAACCTAATTTTGACGCTAACCACCAACTGTAAATCATAATCTTTATTATTCACAGTGGTTTATAACCTTCATTCAGCTCTCATAAGCAGGTGGATATTCTCAAAGTCACTGTAGCGTCACTTGGAGTTCGTCCATACATAATAATCTATTCCGTTGTGAGGTAATCAGAGGTACTTTGTAGGAGTTTCGTGCTGCTGTTTAAGATTCAAAAATTAATGGCCATCTTGATCGACAAAATACTATTAGCATTAAGGAATTAGACGAAAATGACACTCCTGACTACTCATTGATCGATCTTCGTAAACCTTTCCAAAACAAACTATTTTGTAAGATTGATGTCAGCTACAGAACAAGACGAATTTCCTGTGATGATTAACGTTTTAAGATTTTACTGATCAGGTTTATTTGCAGGAAAACCACAGTATTTCAAAAGTTACTTAATATGATGTTTATTCAAGGTTTCATAAAGCACCTTTTCAATTGATTATCAACACAAAATGCTCCCAAGACGGTATGCTATAATATCTGGGCTACTCGTTCCTACCATCCACATATTTCAAAAAATATCTGTTTGCTTGTTCGTTTTAACAAATCCTTGTGCCCGTTAGTCGCATAACCTATTCAGGTTCGTTTGTTAAACGTTTACGACATGTCGCTTGTACAAGTTACAAAGGAGCACAATCAAAGACACTGTGGTTGCCGGCAATATGTATCGGAATGAATATACATTAATCAGATGACGACTCCTGAAATGCTAACATCTAACCGGCGACCACTCAATATTGATCGCTAGTGTCGATCAAGAAATAGGAAAAGGGAACTTGTGAAAATACTTCTTGTTGTGAATTTTATACCATACCAAGCATATAATGTTGAATAAAGCCACTGATTACAATAATAATTAACTAATATGTTATATACTACTAACTTATAATATAAGTAGCCAGAACTATATTTCGAAAGTTTTCGAAAACATCTGTTATTCTCCAGTATAAAGTCCATGAGGGGATAGTAATATGCATCATAATGGAAGTGTGAAATAATTTATTAGTATATAAATATGCTTACTATATGTGCTCATCGAACTTTCAACTTTGAATTCAACAATGAGTGACCATCATCTAATAACATACTCAAACAGATATTATAATTAACAGCCTAGTTAACGTTGAATGTAGCAACAGCTTTGATACTTGAAGATAATTTCAGTGAAATATTATCATTTGACCTAGACATTTGCACATTGATACTGAATGCCTTGGTGCCAAATAGATTATGATAAGCAAACAGGCTTCAAAGAAACATTATATGTATTCTTTTTCGATCGAGATCATGAATCGATCGATACTAGATGATCATTGAAAATCTAGAAATACTGGACGTTGGTTTTGTCCTGAGATGATACCCTTTAGGGGTGCTTATCTAGAACTTCACACACGGAATTCAAGATTAGAACCTTGAATCGCACGCATGAACGCTTGACCTCTGCACCATTGAATCAGCATACAACAATTGATATCAATCTTTATGATCGTGATAGTCATTTTATTAAATATTTGATTACAAATGACACTAACTATTGAAACTTTGATGTATACAATGTTCTCATATATAACATCAACTTAGCTTATTATTATAAATATATGTTATGAATCTTCAGGGGTGTTGTTTATGACTTTTATCAAGTAAATCAATAGTAAGTAGTGTATATTCGTGGTTGTTATTTCCTTCATAAACACTCAGTGACTAATTACACCCAAGTGTAATGCTTCTAGATCTCATTTACAAGATGGAAGTCGTTGAATTTTTAAAAGGGGCGGGTGGTATATTATGTAATCTGTTACTATGCAGAAGATATTGAAGTCTAGAATTGAATGAGCCTGTCTTTAATATGTTGATATTTATTTTGAAATGTTGTAGATGGTTTGTAGCTTGAGTGGATGATTTTGATGGAGTTTTTTAATCTGAGCTGGATGGTTTGGTCATGGAACTTTCATCATTTTTTCTGAACGACATCATCAAGAAAAAAACTTCAGATCGAAGTGAAGTGTTCGAATTTCTCCAAATATTGGCTTATCCTGTAGACATCGATGTTGACTAGTTTTTGTCGACTTTAAACCTGTCATTGTTTACTTCTTTTTACAAGTTGTATCTCCTAATGGTTCGATTTTCAGTCCTATGTTTGTTCATAAATTTCCTGATTGGTTGATAAATTGAATTCAATCAAGATCGAGATCTACAGGATAAGCTATGGGTTATATGTGAAGAGATTTGAACACTTCACTTCTACTTAAAGTTTGTGCTGATGATGTTGCTCAGAAGAACAATAAAAGCTCTGTGACTAACCCATTCAGCTTAAAGAACAAACTCCATTAAAGACATTCATCTTGACTTATAATTTATACTAATTCAGTAAACGTCTTATGAAGAGGGGAGTCCATCAAAGGAAATAAACTACTTCTAAGGAAGCTGTTTAAATTATAGTTTAGATATTAGCTATGTATATTGTTTACACAAACAAACAAAATTGATTCAATTGTGGTCTAGAGACTGATTAGCCCTAGGTTCGAATCTTGCAAGGCCGAATCATGGTTGCGCACTACTAAAACAAAATGGCTATCCAGTGCTTCCAGGTTTTCCATTGTGATCTAGCTTCAATTGACCCCTATATTATGTAACTATGTTAAGAAAGCGTTACATAACTTTAAACGTTGTTTAATAATTTGGAAAATGTAACTGAGTACATAATTTGGTTTGAATATTTGAGCCTTATCCCTGTTCTAGATTACCATTTGTAACGTTCCTAATTGCTGCTAACCAATGTTCAACTGTGTTCCTAAAATATGAAAATAAGATGATTGGCAATGGATAAGTAAATAAAATGAAATTGTAAACTAATTCCAGCAATACTCAGTTAACACTGGTTAGGTTGTATTGATTGTATGAACAATTACGACTATACTATTCGTTGGTAGGTCTTATAACAACACTATTTAGCTAATGTCTATTCAAGGATCGATTGGAGTGTTTTACACGGTCAATTCACCACCGTAAACCTGGTTAGGTTAGTAAGCAATTTCATCTTAGAATAGTAATTCTCAAGAATGTGGGTCAACGATCCCGTATGAGAGAATGGAACCTAGGACCTTCTAGTTTGGATGTGAATACTTAACCTGTAGACCATTGAATTGCCACTCAACGGTATGAATATCACACATCAACAGTGAAAACCTGGAAGCACTAGACGGTCGTGTCATATTAGTATGGGACTCAGAAGTGCGCATCTGTGTCTTCACATTTAGGACTAGAACAAAGGACCTCCAGTAGTGTGCGCGAATATTTTACCTCTAAGCCACTGATGTAGAATCCAACGATGTTACTATTTAACTTCAATCAATCTAAGATCTTGCACTGCCTGAGACCGATAACCGTCTCAGACACGACACGGATCACAGTGCACTATGCATATATCTGTGCCTATTTGGTGTATGGTAGCGGAAATATATGTGATTAGTCACCGAGTGTGAACAAACAGATTATTAAAACGCTGATTTGTTATTCTGTTAAAAATCTTTACTCTGAACTGATTGAGAGTAACTAATTGCGACTACGTACTATTAAGTATTGTCTAGCATTTATACTGGTTCCCTGTATTTGGTCCTGAATCGTATGTCTCTACTATAATGTAGTTGTATATAAAATACAATTAGAGTATCCAATGTAGCAACAATATGAACTCATCAACCAGTCATATTGTCTTATTAGTGTAATACCCCGTTAAAATCAAAATAATGACCTGTCACATCACTGTTTGAAATATACCTAATCAAAAAGTAACTTCAATGGTTGAGACCATGAGTCAGTTGAAGCTAAACCACGATCGAAAACCTGGAAGCACTGGACAGCCATTTATTACTATTGTGGGACTCCTCAACAGTGCACATCAACAACCTCGCCCCTGCGAGACTCGAATCCACGACCTACTGGTTTCACGCGCGAATGGTTAATCCCTAGATCACTGAACCGGCATCCAACAGTGTTAATGTCTAACTTCAACTAATCCACGAGATTGAGCGACACAAGTAACTCCTAGAATGGTTAATATTAGATTAATTATAATGTACAATGTACAATGATCTTACCATATTCCATTTAGTGTACTTCATAAATATAAATAATTTAAAATAAAAATGAAATGAATTCCCCATATTCAATGGATTTATATATTGACAAATGAGTTGAAACAATAATAACTTATGAACGAACCAATCAGATTTGAGATAACAACTCTTGGATTTTGGCGCGAAATTCATTCATCCATTTGGTTTAATAGCATCTTGGCATTAGATTTGATGTCAGTTCATGATGAGAAACCGTAAATCTGATTTCTTAACTTTAACCATCAATTGTAAATCACCATTCGAATCCCCTATAAAGGTTGATCACACTTATTTGATCTTCATTATTAAGTGAACACTCTCGAAGTCAGTTTAGCATCACTCGAAGGTCGTCCGTAAATTTTAGTCTCACCACAATGCCTAAACGATATCAGTATATATTCCTATGGTATATTATAAAATCATTTACATATTAACAATGTTAACAAGCATTAACCTTTGTGAATAGTGATCTGACAACTATAAGTCAACTTACCAAATGAATCCAATAAGCGTTCTGTTATGTGAATGAACAAAATGGAATCATTCAGTCATAATAATAAATATTATTGAATGATAAAATGAAATTTCGTTTCTGTAATGAAAATTGAATGAACAATCTAAAATGTTGACAATTGATTGATCACTAAGTGATAATCACTGTCATGTATGTTAGGTTCTTCTTAGTCGAGGTTGAATTCCATCGATTATGTTGCATTGCAACCACTTGTCTAGATGATTCGACATTGTGTGCAGTATGTTGAGATTACATGATGGTTGGAGGTAGTTGACAGGAAACCCTGGACCCGGGTTTCGTGCTAATTGGCACTCGTCAGCACGGTGTACCTGTAATCTTGAGGGGACTGATGCTGTCTAATTGATTCAATCCCATGTCACTCAGCCTCACAATCAGAGCTATTACCGATGCGCTATCCGGGAAGCAACTGACCTCTTGTAAGACTGAGATGTATGCACAATGGATTGATCACTGATTGGTGATCAACATCATGTATGTCAGGTCCTTCTTAGTGCAGATCAACTCCTATTGACGAAGTTGCAAACCTGGTTTTTTTAGCAAATAGAATGTGAAATTGCATGAAACAATTATTTGACTTTTACAGTTGAATTCATGAGTTAATTGAAGCTAAAACATCATTGAAATCCTGAAAACACTGTATGACAGTTTCGTCCTAGTATGGGACGATTCAGCAGTGCGCATACACACTCCTGCACACCTTATTCCAACCCAAGATTTTCAGTTTCACTCATCAACATCTAATCTATAAACTCCTAAGCAGATGTCCAACGATGTCTATGTTTCACATCAACAATCATCTTTTACCTTACAACCGACATGGTAGATCTCCACTAGTCATGGCTTGATAAAAAATATAGTTCAATTGTCATGAAATTTCATACATATAAGTAAAATGTTAATTGACATATGATTGAGTGACTTACTCCAGTATTGACCAGAATTTTCTACCACAAATAAAACAGTTTAACATTAAAATTAATACTCCCATTAACAACAACAGTATAATAACAAAGTAATGTATATCCATTCCAAACTATAGACAATGAATACAGGTAGTTGTATAATTTCCAGCTTTGTTCTAGTTAAAAAATGGACATAATGGGTCAATTGAAGCTAGACCACCATGGGAAATCTGGAATCAATGGACGGCCGTTTCATTCAGTGGTGGATATGTCACTCAATTTCGTGGATTAGTTGAAATTAGACACTAACACCATTGGATGATGATTGGCTCAGTGGTCTAGTGATTAAGCACTGGCACATGAGGATGATAGGTCCTGGGTTCGAATCTCGCGAGTGAAGATCATGGATGCGCACTGCTGAGGAGTTCCATACTAGGAAGAAATGGCCATCCAGTGCTTCTTGGTTTTAGTCTAACTTCAACTGCCCCATGATCTCAACTATTGAAATTTTGATTTGATTAATATTCCACTTTTTAAATCATTTACACTATACATTTCTTCTAAACACAAATTCGGTTACTTACCCAAAGGATCCCCTTAAAGAAATATAGATAGGTAATCATTATGAGAAACTATACCATGGTGATGTTATATATCTGTATCCATCTTCATTTGATATACATTTCCACCTTATTTAATGGATAGAAAGTTGTGCAAGATTTTGAGTCAAGTGGAGTTAGACATTAAAATTATTGGATGCTGACTCAGTGGTCTATAGGTTAAGCGTTTGCGCGTGAGATCGAAGGTCATGGGTTTGAGTAGTACGTGTAGGATAGTGAATACGCGCTTTTGAAAAGATCCATACTAAGACAAAACAATTGTTCTAAGCTTCCATGTTTATGATAGTGTTCCAGCTTAGATCAACGCATGAAGTCAACTTTAATCTATATAAATTGAGAATTCAATTATATCAAAGTATATAGATTTATGGTGCACATTAGGTGAATTATTCCGAAATCGATGAAGTCAAAGTGCCGAAGGTATACAATATGAGTAATTGATTTAAAAACCCATTAGTGACTACCTTCGTAGGGGAATTCTCATGAGAAATTGCAACCAGTGTAGCTATTCTGTGTCTGGCAGAGACAGGTTCCTCAATTCCGTGAATTTGTTAACGTCAGATATGTCGGCCGGTTCAGTGGTCTAGGGGTTAAGTGTTCGTTTGCAAGACCGAATGCCTTACGTTCGAGTCCTGCAAGTGTGTTCGTGGAGTTTTGTTCCTTGATCTGGATGGTTTTTGTCATGGAGTATCATCAGCAAAAATCTCAGGTAGAAGTCAGGTAAAAGACTTCTACCTGAAGTTTGTGCTGATGATGTCACTCAGAAGAACGATGAAGGCTCCACGACTAAACCATCCAACTCAGAGAACAAAATTCTATCAAAATCAACCAGCTGAGCTACGAATCTTCTCCACCATCTCAAGTATCATAGCATAAATCAATCTGATTATAATAGCATAGTTGTAAATATTCAATGGTAGAACATACGTTTACACTTAGATGATGAACCAGAGTTACATGACTGTAATAGAAGTAATAGAGCTATAATGAAAGGAATCATTACTTCAATTCAATACAAGTATAAACTTGTAAACTACTTAAATACATTAAATTAAATATATGTATTTTCAGTGAATCAATTCAAACAGAATAGAAGTCTCTTCATTCTATTGTGTATGTCAGTCAGTACAATTCTGTATGTCTAACAGAGATGTTAGAAAACATTCATTATCCTTTACAAAACACTGATAATGATTGATAAACAATAACAATAATAACAATAATGATCGATAGAGACATTGGTGGTTGGTAATGCCGGAGTTAAGCTGAAAAACAAAGTATCAGGTAGTTGTTTCACGCTAGTATAAGTCTGTTTAGTCGTACGCATCTAAAACCCTGCAAGGATTTGAACAAAAGGGATCTTGACATTAAGTGGTGATTCATCAGTGAATAATCCTGTGTTAGTTGTACTGAGTTGTCATAACAAACAAATTTAAAGCTTACTTGCATACTTAATTACTCCTGTTTCCCCTAGTACAGGAGCATTGGCCGATCACCAGCATTCTCCATACAACCCTGTCTTGAGCATGCCATCCCAGTTCTTGCCAGTTGCTATTCATCGTTTTCATATCTGCTTCTATTTCCCGACGTAATGTATTCTTTGGCCTTCCACTTTTCCGCTTCCCTTCAGGATTCTAAGTTAGGGCTTGTCTCGTTATGCAGTTTGATGATTTGGGTAATGTATGTTTTATCCATTTCCATCCTCTTTTCCTACTTAAATACATTAAAATGTGTATTTTCAATGAATAGATGTCTCTTCATTCTATTGTGTTAATGCACCAGATATTTCGTAAACAACACCCTTGCCTCGAGAAGACATTGAGTAAGCTTTCCCCGAGAGTGATTGTAAGCGTATTACGCCATAGAAGACCAAAAGATAAAGCTACAAAGGATGCTCACATCAGAACATTTGGAAATCGTGACAACAGCCATCGAAATATCATGCAAACGACATAGAGAACAAAGAAGAAACACCTTAAAGAAAAAACTAATCAAGATCTGCGTAATACGCTTCTCGTTGTTCGAAAAAAAGTGATTGTAAGCGCACGGCCATGTGAGAGCATTTCGAGAGTGAGAGTGAACTCTCCTCACTCCTGGTCGTACCAAGGTATTTGAAGGTACAGAGATTCATAACAAATATTTGTCAGTTTGATTGAAGGATTGTCATGATTAATTGAAGTGAAATATTTTTGTTTTCAAAACAAACGTCACTACACCTCCCAATACACAATTATATACATCCACCTAATGGATAATACATGAATATACCTTTATTATTGTGCAATATATGTCAGATAAACTGTCATATTTACTTAGTCTATTATATAAGCTAATCATATATCTGATTAGTTTATTAAGATGGTTATTGATAACCAATTTGAATGAATTGAATAATTGGTGATATATATAAATCTTGACATTTAAAAGAAATGCTTCTTAGTTCAATTTAACCATTATTTGAAATGATGATTATCGTTGTAATTAGTTTACTTCTCGTATTTCAAACATTCCAGTCCGCACAGACTGAAAGTGGTAAGTCTAGTGACTAACAACATTGTCTCTTTGAATCTTCTCATTGATGTATAGGATTTCAATTGATCAGTCACTTATTGGTTTATGTGCATACATTGCGGAGTTGAATTTAAAACTCTATCTCATTGCATAATCAAGTGGATATCAGGACTCAGTGGTGGAGTTTGAAGTGAATGATACAGAGTGAACAACAACACTGAGGGGCAGGCATATGGGGATGACGAAACGCGCATCTTGGATTCCACTGCTAGCTACTATCCATCTTTGTATCTATTTTCAGGTTTATTTCTTTGAGTTATTTGTAATCTTATTATTTGGGTTCGAGTTTTGTGTACAAGATCAAGTATATGCACTGTTGAGGTATAATAAAATTTGGACGAAACAGCCATTTAATTCTTTCAAGTTTTCAGTAGTATTCTAAGTGAGATCAATTAATGAATACAATACTAATCAGTCAGTTACCACTTCTTTTAAAAGCATCAACTACCGAAACGTAAGTCCGTTTATTGATATTCTGATTATTGCTCAAAACGACTAAGATAATATGACTTTCACGAATACGAGGAAACAAGGTACTTCATAAAGAGCTAGATTTCCTTGGATAGTAACTATTACTGTTAATACATGTACATACATATTTATATCTTCGAAGTATCTCTAAACACTATGTATACAAAGATTGGTTTGACTTTGTTATGACTTGTTGGTTTGTACGCCTATCAATGTTTAATGTGATGATAACGCTAATTAGAGAACAGCGATTTATCGACCAAACCAATGACGTATAAAATGAGGACGAGCAGTCTAGAGTCCTGATCGGTCCTTCTTCCCTGTCTAGCCTAGCCAGTTGAGTCCAGAACACCAATCTCAGCCTCTGCGATATCAATACTTTATTTTAAACATACTGGGTTTATATACCAACCAGACAGATCACATCGTACCATAAAATAGGAAACAACATTTGTACAAGATGTAGTCAATTGTGGCTGTGAACGTGGGAGGTGGTAAATAATAGAGAGAGCCTAATCCATAGTTCAAAACAAAGCCCATAATAAGAGGAATATGAATAGTTTAGTTACTTAACAATGATACGATAAAAGTAAACGCATAGTATTTGTCTATAAATGGTTCCCAAAAGTTACTATTCACTATTCTTTTCGGGATATAACAAACCTTTATGATATGAAATATACTATCATTACACACAAGTTGAAATGCAATCCCAATTATCTTCATCTGATGATGTTCTGATTGTTATGTAACAGTACATAGGCCACTCTGGTATCTATGACGAGAAGGATTCATCTGTTTATTAGATCTAAAATATTTATCACCATAGCAACAACTTATGATGCTTTGATATATATAAAAAACTTTTTTTTAATTTTCAGAACAGACTCATGGCAGTAAGTTTATAATTCATAAGATTTGTAACCAAAGTAATGAAAAATAAGGGAAAATTATTCTTTTAATACAGTTGGTTTTACTCATAAAATGAAATATCAATATGAGATTGTGGAGATGATTATGTTCTTTGATCCAGATCATAAATCGACTGATGTTAGACCACCGTTGAAGCAATGGACGGTCATTTCATTCTGTTGTTCTCCTATGTTGTTTTTGTTGTAAACCAGTAGTATCAGTAAAGTATTATGTAATAAATACCTTGATTATATGTTGTATCCAAATTAACCAGTATTGATCAATTTCTCTACTACATGGTGGATAATGAGTACTGTGTGTGTGCAAGACTACAATTTATGAATGAACCAATCAGATTTAAGATATCAGATCTTGAACTTTGGCGCAAAATTCATTCATACATTTGACTAAATAGCATTTTGGCATCTTATCTGATGTCAGTTTGTGATAAAAACCGTAAATCTAATTCTTCATCTTAACCATTAACTGTAATTCATAATTTTAATTCCTCATACAGATTCATAACCTTCATTTCGTCATAGTTACTAGATGCACAATCTCAAGGTCACTTTAACGTCACTCAAAGGTTGTCCATGAATAGTAATCTCACCATTTTAACTGGGTTTTTTTCGTCACAATGTAGAACTCTTCAGTAAGTAACTTGTCAAGTTAACCAATCGTTCATTTATTAACTTACTCTCGGTTTATGTTTTCATGCTGGTCAAAATAATTTTGATGTATTAACTGAATAGTCAGAAACTAATTTGAGATCAATTTCATATTGGTTAGTCATGTGAATACAAATCTTAACAGTTGACTATATGAGTCGATCTGAGCTAGATTACCAATGAAAACGTGAAAGCGATGAACGGCTTTCTCGTCCTAGTATGGAAATTTTCAACAGTGAAACAGTTATCCACTTTAGACAATGGATGATCATTTGTGCAAGACCATAGATCAATTGAAGTTAGATATATTAACACCGATAAATGGCAGCTCATTAGTCTACTGTTTAAGAGTTTGCGTACAATCCTGAAGGTCCTGAGTTTGAGTTCTACGTTTAGGGTCATGGATTTACACTACTGTGGTGTCCCATATTAGGACGAGACGACCATCCACTGATTCCAGTATTTCAATGGTAGTCTAGCTTAGATCAACTCATGAATTCAATTGTTAAAATGACTACAATCTCCACTAATCCTCAATCTGTCAATAATCATACGCATTTCTTCATTATACGAATAATTTTCTAACACATTGAATTGGTAACAAAACAGAATAATAAAGGTAATATGTTTACCTTATTGATTCCTTATTCATTAGTAACTGGTTAAATCTTATATGGTGAGTTGAATAATCAATGTTGTTTATTTCTTTAACTGCTACGAATTGGGAAATATCAAATGGCGGAATTCCATTGTATACAAATATGTATTATATTGTGATATATGCTACTGATGTCGATGGATATTAGTAGTATGTGTATGATCAATCGAAAGTGAAATACCTAGAGAAAAATGATTAAGCAGATCAAAGAAAACAGTATGAGAACAGAGAATGATTGGTGTGAAAATAAAGGAACAATGACGTGTGTGACGATGGATTAACGTTTTGCAAATAAAGAATTTACTGTATGGTTCTAAGATTTCACTAGACGGCTCTGTAATTTTGTATTCAAATACGTTCGATTGCCTCCACTTGAGTTCACGTTCACTACAATAGGAATTGTGTTGGTACATACGGAACATTACTATGTACAGCATGATACTGTTTGTTGTAATATTCACCTACTTTTTTATTTCTTTGACCCGTCGACAGCATTATTTCCGTGTAGAACGATGAATATAGAAATGTAGTGTTTGTTATGACTTTTGCCCATGTCAACATCTCTGATCAGAATACTGACTTGTAAGACATAGTTCTTGTATTAAACCGATGACACATCAAATATCACTATCAGCCTTACGTCAGCAATGGAAGGTTACTGGTCCTTCTCGCCGAGCTCTGCCTATTGAGTCCAGAAAGCAATCTCAGCTTCCACTGTATGAATCATATATTTCAGACATACTCAATTTATATACAAGCAGACCAGACCGCATCACACCAGTAGAGTTCAATCAGTGTCAGGTAATAGACAGTTATCTACAGATGAAGGCTTGAGCAAGACCACGGATCGATTGAATTCAAACATAAACGCCGTTGGATGCTGGCTCAAAAGTCTAGATATTAAGCGTTTGCTTGCAAGATCAAAGGTCCTGAGTCCGAATCCCGCATCCTGGATCGTGTATGTGCACTTCTAGAAATTCCCATACTAAGATGAAAAGACCATCAAATGGTAAATTGTATAACTGTAGTCAATAGGTTAAATGGATGCTTAGGATATAAATTTTCACACAGAATTATTTGAAACAGTAATTCGCAATTCTATATTGACTAGATTTTGTGAAATGTCGATAAAATATCTAATTTTATGCTAAACAAATTCATTGTTTCATAGCACCCTTTTCTCATTATGGTACGTTTTCATGCTGAAATGTGTTATGAATACTTCCCTTAAGGTATACTTACTCATTAGTTAATTTGATGAATTAATTGAAGCTAGACCACCAGAGAAAACCTGGGATCCCTGGACTATCGTTTCGTACTAGTGTGAGACTCCTCATCAGTGGTTGTCTTCAAGAGGTACTTCCTGGAGTTCCAGTGAAAAGCACTGACCAGTAGAGTTCAACTGGGTCTGTTGCGAGACAGTGACTCACTAAAGACAATAGTGAATGGTGACTTGATTTCGTGGATTGGCTGAAGTTAGAAATTAACACCCTTAGATGCTCCCTCAGTGGTCTACAGGTTAAGCGTTCGCGCACGAGACAGATAGGTCCTTCGTTTAAGTCTCACATGATGGATTGTGAGTTTGCACAGATGAGGAGTCCCATACCTGAACGAAACAGTCGTCCAGTGCTTACAGGTTTTTCATGGTGATATAGCTTCAATTAAATCATGAACTCAGCTGTTAAATTACTATAATATTCACAAAATCCCTTTCTGAGTATGCTTATTCATCATTAGCCTGTCTGCTACTTAAATTACTTTCATACTCATT